GTGAGTTTCTAACGCATTGAAATGTTGTTGGTTTCAGATTATTCAGATTACCTAAAACTAGTTTCAGGTATTGAGTGTTTCACACAGATGTTTTGATTCCTGAAACAATATTTTTCTCTTTTAAAACAAACAAACAAAAACCGGAACAACTTTGTGCTGCTGTTTTGATCTGTGATTCATGCCCCTTCACCACTGGGGCAGGTTGAGAGCACCGGCCTGGGCTCTGGAGTTTTGAACTCTGCCAGTGCTAACAGAAAAGCTGGAGATGAAGTTTTAAAGCTTTTCAGATTTCTTATTTTTTTGCTTCCATGGTAGTTTGTGGACAGCTTTTATGATGTCTGGGAGCTTGCCCCTGCAGTAAGACTGCAATGTGGCTGAGCATCATTGTGGTAAAACGGGTGGGTTTAAGACTGAGATTGAATACAGCTTATCAAAATTATTTGCGTGCTGTCTATTTTCTGATCGAAGCCTTGCCATTCAATTGGGTGCACATCCATTTCCAGCATTGTGGTCCTGTGTCCTAGTCAAGTGTAGTGTGTCTGGACTGTGAATTGTGTGGTCAGAGGCTGCTTGTGTTGGACGCCCCTTTTGTGGTGGTGGATGACGCCTGGGTTTTACTGGATTGTGTTCCTCACATGAGGAATCCACGGTCACAGCCTGACTTGCATGTGTGCTTATGTCGAGTAAGTGTATGACTGTGTTGAGGACTCTGTTTTGCTCACACAAATAAAATGTAGCTCTGCTGATGGGCTGTGGAGGAGGCGCAGCCCATGGCTCTGCAGTGGCTCTTTGAGAAAAAGAGTCTGGTCTCGCACCAAAGGATTGAGGCCTCCTGGCACCCCTTTTTTGCACAGTTCCTATAGCGATTTAAATACTTTGGATAACTGCTTTGAGGTGATAGCTTTAGCTAAAGCTAAATAGTAGAGGACTCGGAGGTTCATTTTTTGTTGGGAAGTTGACTAGGCTGAGAAAATGGGAATACATTTCTGTGTCAGAACTTGTGAGAACGGAAAGAATTGGTGCTTTTGTTATAAAGAAAATAGATTGATTCTGCAAAGGAAACCACGGACAGCATACCAGAGGGCCATGGTGCCTCACAGATGGTAGAGGACAATAAAATTAAAGCTGAAGGGATTTTCTTGGTGAGCAGGAAGCTGTGCTTTAGTCTTGTCATGGTTTTTTTGGTTTTTGTTTTTTTAAGCTTTGGCAGGAGAGAACAGGTTTTTCTTGCCTTGAGAACTCTGTTGGAGCAGCTTGATATGTAGATAGCTTGAAGTCTGACTTGTATCCCGCATGCTCCATGTTATCTTTTCCTCCAAAACCAGATTATTTGGATAGATTATTGGGGAAGAACTGAATTTAATATTTCTTTTTCTGTTCGGAAATGAAGAGCTGAGATAGTATGTAAGAAATGCACATAAGAAAGGAATTTCACAAGAGAAAGTTGCGTTATTTGCAGAGTAGTTATATGAACGTATTTGGTGTGAGAATTTCAGGTTCTGTTACTCCAAATTAAACATGAGCAAGATCATAGAATCACAGAATGTGTTGGGTTGGAAAGGAGCTTTAAAGCTCATCCAGTCCAACCCCTGCAGTGAGCAGGGTCAATGTCACCAGATCAGGTTGCTCAGAGCCCCATCAAGCCTGACCTTGAATATCTCCAGGGATGGGGCCTCCACCACCTCTCTGGGCAACCTGTGCCAGTGATCTACCACCCTCATTTTGGAGAACTTTTTCCTAATATCCTACCTAAATCTACCCTTTTCTAGTGTAAAACCGTTATCCCTCATCCTACCGCTACCTGCCCTGGTGAACAGCTCTTCCCCAGATTTCTTACAGGCACTTTCCAGGTACTGGAAGGTCGCTGTAAGGTCCCCATGGAGCCTTCTCTTCTCCAGGCTGAACAGCCCCAACTCTCTCAGCCCATCTTCATAGGAGAGGTGCTCCATAGATAGAAGATATCAGGATATATTTCTAATGGCAGAGGATAAGGAACCTGTAATTTCTGGGTCCCACAAATTTTTATAGCACTGTCTTCTTTTTTTTTTTCTGGAGAGAAGAAAGGAGGTAGAAAATGGAGCAGTGTTACTAGGATCTTAAAATTAACTTTTAGATAGCATAACTACGGTAGCATAAATCTGTGTTGACACTGTCACAATATTCAAGTATACTTTTGGCTCTCTTTAATGTGAAAAGTGAACTAGGATGCAAGTGTAGTTGGTGAATAGCTTCTAAAATGCAGAAGTTGTGTCCTGGTTATGAGCTGAGCTCAGTATTTTCTGGTACAGGTAGAAGGTAAGCAGATTTTCTACTTTCCTGTGTCTTTGCTGTGGTGTACAGGTAGGCTGTCTTTCAAATGATCTTTGATTTAGCTGAGGTGAAGCAAGGCTGGAAGAAGTCGACTGCAAACTTTACTTCATTAGTGAATTTATTTAAGCTATTTTTTCTTTAATCTCTGGTTTTGACAAAGGAATATGGTTTTAAGTGGAAGGAGGACTTTGTCTAGAGCAACTAAAGTCAAGATACCAAGAATCAGATATTTGAGAGTTATGACTGCAAGAACCCATATAGTTAGAAAAGCTCCTACATGTTTTTATTGAGGGGACAAGAGCTTGTGATGGATATTAGGAGTCTATATCTTTTTCTAGACTATAGTAAATGTAGCTTTTAAGCATGGATGATTTAATCTTAGAGTAGTTAGTAGCATATACGGCAAATGGTGTAATGAAGTAGCAAAGACCTTAGCACAGATTAACTTCTGGAAGAATTGTCCAGTAACCTCGGTGGGTTTTGCGGGCTGTGAAGAGCTGTGTGCAACTGCAGCTGTAATGCTATAAAAAAATCTCTTGGCCTTGAGTTGTCTGTATGAATTGTAATTATAGCAGTGATCCCAATGCGTGTAATTTGGTTTTAATATAGAAATTAAAGAATTATAAATTATAAAATTATAAAATGTACAGTATACAAAACGGAGTTATTACTTGTATGTCAGTTTTCAGAGGAGTGTGTTTTTTCCCCTAATGATTTAAAATTAAGGAGGATCCATTCCCAAGCTGTGTGATTGACTCACTGTATGACCTTGGGCAAGTTACTCATCCACCTTGAGCTTCAGTTTTCCCAGTTGGAGTATTGAGTAAACAATGGGAAACTTGCTGAAAGCCAAATGTTGCTGTTGAGTTGAACCTTTTTCCCTTTCTGGTTTTTCCTTTGCCTTTTTACAAGAAAAGTACATTTTCATTTTTTTTTCAAGTCGGTATTTGAGAAAGTCACTCTAGATCTGCTACTCCAGGCTTTGTAAACCTAATGTCCAGATTACGAGAATTCAGCCTCCTCCCCAAATGTATTCCTCTTCTCATTTTACTAGGTCTTCTGCTGATCTTGCTACTCTGTTGCTATCTCCATGAGCCCTCTAGATCATCCTGTCCTGGGAAGTTCCAGTCTGTCCCTCAGATAAAAATAAGATTTTGCTGCTACCTATGAAAGCACTAAACCAAGTGTTTTTTCCCGAAGATCAGCTCTAACTGTAAACTGTTTAAAAAATGTATAACAATTAACAGTGAGCCAGTCCTTCTGCTCTTAAATCAATGCTGTTGCCCAGGCAAGCGCCGTAAAATTTTTCTGATAATTTACGCTGGCTCTGCGTGCAGCCTCCTGCTTGAGCGCTGACATCTTGAGGTTTCCCCTGTTGGCTCTTGGATGAGACGGTTTCCCCCAGGGGTTAATGGACTGCGTTGTGGAGACTGCGAGTAATAATAATCTAAGCATACTTGTCTTGAGGTTTATTTAATGAGCTGCTATTCTGCCATCCGGGAGAGCTGTTGTTTAGTGAACTGTGCTTCAGCTGGGTGCCTTTTTGGGGGATTCTCCTCATGTGTCCTGCTGAGATGTACAGAGGAGTCCCGTACAGGCCAGGGGAGCTATAGGAACTTTCCCTCTACGTGCACCGCTGTGTTTGAGCGCTGTCTGCTCCGCAGGTTTGGCTGCATTGGTGCAGCGATTCCAGCACGAGCAAAGCACAGCACATTTTACAGAATGCACCTGAGGGAAGGAAAGGTTTGTAGTGGTCTTTGCGTGTGTGAATTCTCTGCTCAGATGTTTTTGAGGTCACTGGAAAGAACTTCGTATTTGAAAGAGGCGCTCAAACTGTGGTTGCAAAACTGTTGCTGTACCCTCTGGTTGCTTCTAGGTGGCACTACAAGAAAAACAATACGTGCATTCACTGCTATGGGAAGCCAACAGTTGAGCTCCTTGGGGCTGTGGTGGTCAGTGCTGAGAGGAGCAGCTGGCAAATGCTCTAGGAGAGAGGAGGAAGGAGTGAACTTGCTCTGCTGTGATAGAATTGCCTTAACTCTGAATTGCATTTTACATCAGTGTGAAACAGTGGTCGCTTAGTGACCACATTAGGTTTTGCTTTAGAGCCAAAAATGTGGTTGTGTACAAAATTTATAGACGTCCTCCTCCAAAAATTATAATCACAAGAGAAATGGTTCTCCTTTTCTCTAAATATTTAAATGAGACTACTTTATAATAAAGTCCCACATATTTTACATGTAAATGCCCATAAATTCTCATAAAGATCTCACAAATTATACTGTGTGTACGTGGATGAAATGAAGTACAGGTTTTTATTCTCATCTAAAATTTGAGTTTTAACGTTCTTCAACTTTTTTTTTTTTAATTGGAAAAATCATAGTATTTTCCCATTCACAGCCATTTCTCAACTTTTTATTGTTGCCAGAGTATATGGTAGCTTTTGGTTTTGTTTGAAGGAGGAGGTTCTGTTTGATATAGTACGTATTTTTGAAAGTTTAGGAGATTATAGTGAAGTCGTTGCATGTGATGACTTGTAAAACAAACCTTATCAAAGCAGAGATCTAACCTTTTTTAGGTTAAAAATGTTTTATTCAGAGCTAGACAATATTCTGGTAAGAAATCAAAATGCTAATCTGAAACATGAAACTAAATAACTAAAACCTTCCCTTTTTTTTCTTTTATTTTAGCAGCTCCACGAGACTGTGAAAAGAAAGCTTGATAGCGCTGCTTCCCCTCAGAATGGAGACCAGCAGAACGGCTACGCTGATGTATTTTCTGTGTCCAAGAAACTGCGTCGTGATGATGGCCTTGGTGGAGTGAGTGGTTCTTCCAATGGAATGCCCCCTGTGTCTCCGCTCCATCATCTTGACAAGAAATCTGGCAGTGGAGATACCTTACAACTTAATGGAAAACATCCAATGGGGCTAGATGGCATCAGCAAGAAGTGTCTTCCAGATTCCAGCCTGCAAATGAACGGAGGTGGTGATGCTGATGACTCATTTCCTCTGAGTCTGAACAAAGAGCTGAAGCAGGAGCCCGTAGATGATCTTCCATGTATGATTGCTGGAGCAGGGGGTTCCATATCTCAGAATAACTTGATGCCTGATCTTAATCTTAATGAGCAAGAGTGGAAGGAACTTATTGAGGAGCTTAATAGATCAGTGCCTGATGAAGACATGAAGGATCTCTTTAATGAAGACTTTGAAGAGAAAAAAGATGCAGATTCTTCAAATTCAGCTGCACAGACTCCATTGCCACAAGATATTAACATAAAGACGGAGTTTTCCCCAGCACCCTTTGAACAGGAACAGATAGGATCTCCCCAGGTTAGATCCACTTCTTCAGGCCCAGCATTTATTGGTCCTGCGTCTGTACCTGTAAGCACCGCTTCTCCAGTGGTTGGTAGTTCTCAGGCTATGTTTCAGCCTTCCAGTCAGTCAATGACTGAAAATCCTAATCAGCCCATGATGCAGGCATCAAACCACTCTCAGAACGTCCAGAGGCCTCTCCCCAATGTGTTGTTACCTGGGAAGGGCACAGGAAGTGCCAAAGAAATGTCTTCTGCTCATCAACTTCAGCAAATTGCTGCCAAGCAGAAAAGAGACCAGATGTTGCAGAACCAGCAGCAAGCTTCGCAGGTCCACCAAACAAATCAGATGTCTACGTGGCAGCAGTCTGGGCCTTCTCATAGTCCCTTGGCTGTCCCATACAGCATGGAAAATCCCACCAGCCCATCGGTTTACCAGCCAGACTTCAACAGTCAGAAACTCATGATGCCTAATATGGGAAACAAAAGCTCACCGAGAGCTGGAGGCAATTACCATGTGAACATTTTGGGTCATCAACAAAACAGCTTGAACCAGAACCCTGTGAACAGTCAAGGCTCTATGCTAGACTACGGGAACACCAAACCTCTTTCACATTACAAAGCAGAATGTGAGCAGGGGGTCACAGTACCTGGTCAGAACAAGACTCCCATGTTGGCATACATACAACAGCGCCAGCAGCCGCCGCTGTCTCATGTGAGCGATGACCAAAATGGGATGATCCTGTTGAAACCCAAGTCTGCAAACATTGCCTACCGACTACCGCACAGTCAGGTGAATGTTCTGGGCTTTGTTACCTTTGTTTAGTAGCAGATTTAAGGTTTCACAAGAGGGTACTGGATAGGTAAGGATAGAGTAGAGATTACTTGGTATTGTTTCAAAACAGTTGCCACATGATTTTAAAGAAGAAAATGATAAAATGCAATGAGCTGAGACAAGAATCAAGAACTCTAGTTTTCTGCTGGGGACAGCTTTTAATACTCTGTTCTAGGTTATGTGGTCATGTGTGATTTCCAGCTTAATATACTTTGTGGGTAACAAATCATGACACACTTCACAGAAACTTCTGCTTATAAAGATAAATAGATGCTTTGAAACTTTAACCTAAAATAACTCATGTAAAACTGTAGTGTTAAACAGCGTTCTCAAAGAAGCTTTGATTTCTTTACATTCTTTTTAGTCCCTGACTTGTGTCAGACTTGGCTTACTATAAAAAGACGTGCCCTCGGTTGCTGCTTTTTTGAAGAGAGATGGAAGTAGTGGCTGCATTCCTGATTTCTTGGGTGTTCCTTGAGGCTTTTCAAATCTAAGAATTTGTTACTGGTTAAGTCTCTGGGGATTGGGGAAGCATGGAATAGGGGAGAAATACGTCTTTAAGAATGAATAATATTAATATTTGTCTGCTTCAAGCAATATGCTTCAGGTTTTCCTGTAAAGGAAAATTCCAGACTCTGCTTTTTTTGCCTTATATGTGACTGGTACCACAGATATCCTGCAGGTAGAAATTTATGTAGTGGATGGAGGTACAGACTCGTTGGGATTCTGTAACGTACCTGCAGTGCACGTACCAGGGGGCTTGTTGAGAAAAAAGGTCTTCGTTACAAGGGCAAAAGCTCCGCTAGCAAAAACTGTTGGAGACCCAACTCTAATAATATGTTTTCTCAATAAAAAAACTGTTAAAAAGGTGTGATTAGTCTGTGATAAAGACCACACTGATGCACACAAAAAAAAAATCCAAGATCAATGCGTACTTCATAACATACAAAAATTAATCTCTTTAAAAACTAGCAGAAGTGAAAAAATAGCAACATTTTGGTGGAAGAAGAAAGGGAAGGGTAGAGATGATTGTGTGTGTCACATCTTCCCCTTGCTGAAAACACGAGTGTGACCTTCTGTCTACGCTGCCGTGCTTGCGCTGAATCAACGGAAATACTGATGAGTGCTTCTGGAGAATTTCTCTAAAGCTTGCACTTAGAACAACGTAGCACAGCATTACCTATATTTGTCTCGTGATTTCTTATGAAACTGCAGAGAGTGGGAACCAACAGCCAAACCCATAAGCTGAAATCTAAACTTAAAAGTAGTGTGTGTTTGCATAGTTAGAGATGAGGCTGAGCTGTGCTTAACTATGATAAAAATTGTCACATTTCGGATGGATTTGCTGGTACAAAGAGGACAGTATCAGAACTTGAATGGGAATCGTTCCATGTTATTTTCACTTATCCCAAGTTCCAATCCCCCTAAAAAAGCAGACTTATGAAAAATTACTAGCAGGCATATCTGTAGTAGTATTTTTCCCTGTGGAATGTGGTAATGATTGGATTGCTAGAAAAATAAGACTTAATTTTGATCAGTGATAGCCTTCTTCCCCTTCACCTGCAAATAGTAAATACTCTGATACTTAAAAAAGCAGCTTTAGGAGGGGAGGCATAAACAGTTGCTGAATTAAATGTTGACAGAAAAGGCAGGATTTAGATGTTTTATATAATGAAAATTCAAAAAGGAGTGTTTGAAAAGCTGCTACCAAAGTAAACTGAAGCTGGTGTGTGTATAAAGTGCTGTTTGTAACTGGCACTGTTCTCTGGCTGAGCAGCAGCACACAGAGCTGTGCACACCTATTTGAGCTGGGCTTTGGGAAGTACTTGGAGACTGAACGTTGTGGAGCTTCTGACCTTAACACCGAACTCTCGCTTCTCTGTTTGGCGCTTTATAGATGAGTTTTCATCAGCCAAACTGAGAAGTGTATCACACGTTGTCTTTTCTGTTAGAAGCTTCACAAGTGAAGAAGCTATTCCATAAAGATGACAAAGCACAAATAAGCAATAATTAACAATTTCTAATTTTTAGACATGTGTTATAATTGCCCTCTCTGTGTAGACTTTGTTTATAAAGTCTCTCTCCTTTATCCTGTAAAATGATAAAAATAGCACCAGTCATGGTCATCACTATGAAAGTGCCTTTCCTTGTTTGTGTAACTGCATGCAGTTTCTAAATTCTGGAGGGCTAACCTCTTTGTTTTCCTATGTTCTGCAGGATCAAAACCCTTCTCCGAACGTTCCCCGCGTTCCCGTTTCTGTCCCAGGTGCTGGTGTGGGTGCCCAGGCTCCCAACGTCTCTATGGCAGGTAACCACAGCAACCAGCCCTATCTCAGCAATCAGCAGCAAGCAGCAGTGATGAAGCAACACCAAATGCTGATGGACCAGCAGAAGCAGAGGGAGCAGCAACAAAAGCACTTGCTCATGGAGCAGCAGAAGCAGCAATTCCTAATGGAGCAGAGACAGCAGCATCTTCTGGCAGAGCAGGTGAGGGGGGCCAGCAGTCTTCTTCTCTTTGCACTCATTTGCTTTGGATGAAACAGCATTTGAAATTTTGTCAAACAGTTATCACGTTACAAAATAGGAGATGTAAATTACAAAGCACTTTGGTATCATAAGTATAATTTCTGGTTTATGTTTCTATGAAAGTAACCCAAGCATGTAGCGTTTGATTGCTGAGACTTTTTCTGTTGCTACAAGGCACTGTGATGAATGAAAAGAATAAATTAGGTAGAGTTGAAGACTGTGAAAATACAAGACAATGCCTACATGGAGAGGATGTATCATGTCAGTGATGGTGTAATTCTTTGTGAAAGAAGAAAGGCAAATGAAATCAGAGCAAAAATAAAAGATAAGGTTGGGATACTGTCGGTGTGTTCTGCAGAGCTTTAAAAATGGCAGCAGTGAGTAAGGGGCTCTAAGCTCATTGTCCCTTCTGCCTTTCTTCACTGTGAAATCTACAGCAGTTCATGTTTCAAATTTTAAAACATCTTTCACTTGTTTATTTGTGCAAAATAATTAGACATCTGCATCCAACTTGCGTCTTATCCTGCCAAAAGAATTTAATTCTGCTGTCCCATCAGACTGCCGAAAGCTGCTTTAACCTCTCTCAGGGAAACCAGCTCCTTGTGTGAACCTTTCTAAGCTTTAAACCTTTTGCAAATGTTTCGGCTGTGCTGAAACATCGGTGCTCTTCTGCATTTTAAAGAGTCCATGCAGGCATCCTCCAGGCACTGGCACTGTACATACAGAGAAATTATCAATATCTGATAACGGAGGAAGGGAAAGATGAATTTTCAAAGAATGTTTGAGACTTTGGAAAAACCCGATATTCAGATCTTCTGGAAAAAGTGTGATGATCTGTACTGCTGAAAAGTTTTGTCTTTAAAGATAATGAGGGGGAAGTCACAAGAACTGTTTTATTTGGGGATAATGGGGAAAAAAGAAAAGCTGGTGGCTTAATTAAAAAAAAATGAACTGCATCTGTTCCTTAGAATTAAAAAAAAATAAATTTTAAATGCTCTGGAGTCCTTCAACTCGTAACAGTTGAAAATATGTAGTTTCTTTAATTTTCAGCACTGTTAGAGGCTGAACTTTAAAGTTGGGAGTTGTTATCCCGGTAGACAGGATTTTCACTGTAATAATAGTTTGGAAAATAGAGGTGATTAGAGAAGGTCAGGTAATGGTTGTGTGAGAGGGGGACACCTTAACTTCTGCTACAGCAACTCTTGCTTTATTTAAGAAAGAAGCAAATGATACAGTTTGCTCTGAACTGAAGATACCTGAAAGCCCATTTGAGAGGAAGGGTGTAGTGGAATCTGCAGAGTTGTAGAGCTCTGGCCCTGCCAAGTCCTAGCAAATGGCTTTTTTTGATCACCTGGAGTCTCCAGTTAAAATCGAGGACTGGATTGAGGTGACAGAAAAGCCCCAACATAGATAAAACATAAGATTGTTTGGCAGTGTTTTAAAGAGAATTGTATGATGTTGGTAAAGATACTTTTTTAAAATATTTGGGTAGAAATTCAATTTGGCCTAGGGGAATATTGGGGTGGAAATGTACCATCAAAGACTGAAGGACAAAGAATGCCCAGATCATCTATAAAATAATGTGTTCTGTGTGAGTGCTGTGACCTGTACACTTACATAAACAAATACAGTACTTTTTTAGTAAATCTTTCAGTTTTTGATGACTCGTATGTGAATATCAAATGTCAAAAGTGACTGATCGTTACTTTCCCAAAATGTTAACAAGCAGGTACTCTTTGAAAGAAGGTGGGGAGAAAGGAAATACAGGGCATCTGCATCCTGCCTGTACTTCTGCACCACTGGTGAATGGAGCTTATCAGAGCTCTTAAAGCTGTGGCACAGTAGCTGTCCTTAGCAAAGCGATGGACTCGCAGACTCTCTGAGCAGTGGGCTTGCCTATTAACAGGGTGATAAGTAGCATATCTCAAACAGGGTTGAAATAGACTTTATCTTAATACCTATTTGCTGCTGCTTAGCCAGTACCCATTGCTGTAGTAAATATCAGCATTATGAAAGTATTTTATTCCTGTCCTATTATGGTAACTACAACTAACTTCTACAACCTGCGTCTCTGTGTAGTGATACTGGGACTCGGATCCCAAATACTGAGTGGCTTTGCGTTGGAGCTGAACAGACTTGGAGACTGCATTTGCCACGTGTCTTGGCCTTGTGCTTCCCAGTCAAGCTAGATCTTGGTAGCACTCTAATTTGATATTTATTTCTTTGGATGCAGAAGATACTGGATGTAGTTTTACAAAAAAAATTCGGAATCGGCTGATCTCTTATTTTGCATGACAATTTCAGTTTCAGGTAGCTTCAGTGCCATTTGCTGCAGCACCAAAGCTTCCTTTGCATTTGGTGTTCTGCATTTTTTTCCTTTCTTTTTTTTTCTGAGCCAAGTTCTGCAATTCTTTGTTTGTCTCAGAACTGTGGCATTTCTCGTTGCCTTCTGTGGTCAGCCTCTTTTCAGGTTTGACTGGTCCTGCAAGTAGCAGGTCCTTTCTGTCAAGCAGCCTGCCCTCTTCATTCCTCTGCATGCCTGAACAGCCGCTTAGTTGTAGACATGTGAAAAGGAGTGAAAAGGGCGGTAGTAATTTGTATCTGCCTGTTCGTGACATTGCACTCATCTCTTCTTTAAAAGGCTTGTGTCTTTTCGCAGCACTCTTGGAGGGGAATTTCTGTCTGCTTCCGTACCCTGTGCAACTTTAGATGTAGTTGTGTGCTGTGTCACTACTTCATTATCTCAGAATTTCAGTCTGGTTGAAGATATCTATGGAAGAAGAGCCAGAAATGCTGTGCCTGATATTGTTTCATATTGTAAAAGTAGCCTGTTGGCTGTTCGCACTGTCAGGATCTCTTAGTACACGTACATACACTCTTGACATTCTCGTCAAGACTTTAAAGCCATTTTGCCTAAAATTTTCCTAATAGAAGATTTGCTTGCTTTATTTTTCAGATGTTTTTTATTATAAAGTAGGAACAGGTTGAATGTGCCTTTGAAGAGGCAAGGTTATTTTGAATCATTAGCAGGGTTTGTTTCAATTGATTGGTTAAGGAAATTGTTTTGAACAGTCATGACAAAACTTGTGTAGCTTCTGTTAGAAACATAGTTCTCCAGTTTTCCATAACCTTTTAGGAAAACCTGTGGTGTATAAAAGTTTGGGTTTGTGTATGGTTTTTTTAATTTTTGGAAACAAGGGCTAGAAAATATTTACACATTCAATTTTTATTTTTATTTTTATGTGTAACATTGTTAATATTTATGACTTGTACTTTAATTTCCAAAGAGAGGTCTGGAATAAATTGGTGTCTAAAGATCAAAAAAAATTACGTGTGAATTATTTTATGCACACTCGTTTTTGTTCTTTTTGTACCCGTTTGTTTCTTCAGAGTATCGCTAAAAGTGCCTGTTTGTTACTGGTGAAAATCTGAGCTGTTAGTCTTTTAAATGTGTTAAGGGCTTCCGACATGCATTGCAATAACTTCTGTAATGCTTGCGGTTGCCCTCTTGTCTCTGAGTTTCTGATCTTGTCACTCATCCGATTAAACTGACTGTGTTGGGACCTTGAGAGCAAAGGTCTGAAGTGACTCTAAGGCCTCAGCGACCCCTTTAATTACCAGCTCTGCATTGTAGTGTGCAGATAGCTTGTTTTATCCAAGATAGTCACCCTTGGCAAACGCTCGACTTGTTTTCTAATTGTCTTGCATTGGACCTTTCCCAGGAGAAACAGCGGCAGCAGCAAGAGCAGCAGCTGCAGCGGCATCTGACTCGACCACCTCCCCAGTATCAGGATCAGCCACAGAATCCATACCAGCAACAGGTTGGGCAGTTCACAGGTGAGTAAACAGGGCAGTTGAAATAACGGCAGAAAAAGTACCAGGAGTAAACAAGGTGTCTTCAAATTTCCTGGCTTGGATAGCTTTTAATTAATTTATTACAACATCCTCCCACGTCACTGTGCCTTAAGACTTTTAGATTCAGTTGCATATTAACAGCTTCCCCTGTCCCAGGTATCTAGGACAACTTAAGTTTCTTATTCTTAATATTGCTTTGGAAATGGGTAAAATTCTTGAGTACCCTCATTGTTCTAAAGGCCTTTCTGTACTACCATTTCCCTTTACAATTTGTAAATTCCCCTTAGCTTTCATATATTAGGACTCAGCTTTGTTTTCTGAAGCCTAACATCACTACTTCTTGTATCTATCACAGGCCCTCATTAAAGAAAAATAAGTGATAATCCATCTACTAGGATGAGTTTAAAATGCTCTAGTTTTATCCCTGCTATCTTTAGAAGGGAGTGTTATTTGATTTCTCTGTTACATGTTAGTGTCGTACATGGGGTTTTTTGTAGGAGCAGTAGCTTGGTATACCTTCACTATATCAGTGCTGGTAAGTAAAAGATGTTGTTGCCACTAAGCTGAAGTATCTTCCTGAATATGGAAGAGCTAGAGAAGAGTAAAAACTCATCTCCTTACCTGAAAAATTACTTAACTGGGCATCAAGAAGCCACTTGTCTTTTTTCATAAACCTAAAGTACAAAAGTGCTTATTCCTTTCCTTTTGTTACCTTTACTCTCTGTGCTCCCTCCGAAAGAAATACTGAAAGAAAACGATGCAAATAGAAATGCAGTACCCTCACTCTGACAGTGTGTGTGACTATGCAGTGTCTGGCTGGTTTCTAGCTAGTGTTTATGACTGGGTTTTGTTACTCAACTCAAAAAACTTGGTAAGGATTGTGTGTTACACAGTGGTCAGTAGCATCCTCCGTGTTGCACTGGAACATTTTTTTTTTCTCCTGCCACTTTTCTGCAGGAATACAGTAGCACTCCTGTTAGAAATAGAGTATGTTTTTGCTATAATGAACATCAGCATTATTAAAACTATTTTTTCCTTGTTACGATGTTTGTAACTATTTTTGCATCTTAAATTCTAGTATGTGTACTACCTCTTCACTGTGCTGTTCCAGTAAGACTCTTTTTGCTTTAAGTAGGGGACTGTTTTTTCTACAGGAATAAACTTTTTTACTTAGAATTTGCAAAAACAAAGGACTCTTTGATTTGCTGAGAAGACTTATTTTTGCAAATCGTCGTGCTTGGTTATCAGCATTGCATATTAATATAGTGAATATTTCATTGTGGAAATCCAAAAGATAATGGACCAAAGATTTCTGAAAGTTAAATGAAATAGAAGAAATGTTTGGAATTGTGAAAACACGGGACTGGAAATCCTACAGTTGTACTACGTGAGGTACACGGTGTATGCACAGAATAACTGGCAATGTGCGTGTGCAGTAAATGGTACTTTTGAACAGCCTACCAAAATGTGGACGCACTTCAAAGCATGTATGTATACCTTTGCCCACAAAGAACTATGAGACACCTGCCTTTAAAGTCTTAATTTTTTTTCAAATTGATGATGCTGAACTCTTAGAAGTGGTATTCATATTTTTTGGGACTTTGGCATATCTGTGTTTGAGATCAAGGTGGAAGTGCTAACTGGAGCAACAATTGGTGCTCTTTAATTAAAGTGCTGCTGTCTGTGTGGTGGCTGCATAGGTTGGTTTATATAAAGGCAGCTGCACCTCCTTTCTGGATTATAGTGTCTACAAGCCTAGCTTGGTTCTGGTTGAACTGAGATATTTAAGGTACAAAATATTTCTTTGTATTTCAGGGTCATCTTCAGCCATGCCTGGGGTCAGTAATTTAGGACAGTCCAGCTCCAGTAGTCCACGGATGTTTCCTCAGACCCAGAACATGATTCAGATGGGACCTGGACACAGTTCTGTTCCTCCGCTCCAGTCAGGCTCCAGTCAGCAGGATCGGGGTGTGACTCAGTATACCAATATGCAAAACATTCAGCGAGGGGGATTATACAACTTGGCGTCTGGTATGACACAGATGGTTCCCCAGCATGCAACTCAAAGTGCCAATGGACAGCCACCGATGCAGAGACAAGGCAGCTTGGGCCAGGGTGCTGCCGTTCCTGCTGGGTATGGACAGAACACCTTAGCAAACTCGAGTATTTCTCAGCAGCACAATAAAGGTGCACTGAATCCAACCTTATCTAAGCCACAGATGGCAAGAGTACCAGCTGCTATGGGGGCTCAAAATCCATCTTGGCAACACCAAGGTATCCCTAATATTAACAGCCAGACACAAGCAAACAGTGGCTTAGGACCATTTACTGCCAGCTCCTCTTTCCACATGCAGCAAACTCATCTAAAGATGGCCAACCAACAGTTTGCCCAAGGAATGCCTCAGGTAAGCCTAAGCACCAGCAGACCAATGACTTCCATGAATGCTGCCGTCTCTGGGCAGATGTTGTCATCGTCTTTAGGTGCACAGCAGCGGACAAACCCACCTACGCAACAGCAGGTACCCTCACAGCAAGTCTTGCCTGGCATGAACCAGACTGTTCCAGATCTGAATGCTTTCAACCAGAATCCAAATCAGCAAATGCCCAACAGAGGTAATCTGCACTGTAGTCAAGGGTACCCTGTGAGGACAACCAGTCAAGAGCTGCCTTTTGCCTACAGCAGCCAGTCAGGCAGTAATGGACTTCAGAGCTTAACTGGGGACACAGATCTGATAGACTCTTTGCTGAAAAACAGGACTTCAGAGGAGTGGATGAATGACTTGGATGAGTTGTTAGGAACCCATTAAAATGGGGCTGGGGGTTTTTTAATGATTTCATTAAATACAAACAACACTTGGACCAAAAAACCTGTGACATTGAGGAGTCTCGCAGGCATTAGAGGGAGATGGTTGGGAAAGGGACTGGAGCTGCTTCTCAATGAGTGTTGATACATGGTAGTGCCGCACCAAGCAGGTCTGCAGGAAGAGTGCGCTTTATCCTGGGGTCTCTAAGGAGTCGCACACTTGAACAGGTCAAAACCAATTATGCGTATCCTAGCCAGCCTTTTGGAAACCTCACTTGCAGTGTTCTAAAATTTTTTTATTGTTTAAAAATAAAACAAAAATCCAGAGCAATAGTGCAGAAAGCAAGCAAATAGTTGCACAAATTGTGTTTAAGGCTTAGTCTCCTGCAGCTATTACTTGCAAACGTTATTTGTTCATAGCTTGACATGCTGTTCTAGTACTGTCCATCAGACTTCTGACTTTTTATTTGAGAAGGGGCTGTATTGCACCTGAGTATGCTTGCAAAATGTTTTGAATTGTTTCTTTTCCCCATTGCTGAAGCATTTGCCTGTACTCTCAATAAGCAAGTGATGTTTCACGGTAAATACTTCTAGATGCTGGTAATAGATGAAAGAAAGTATTAAAACCTGGCCAGTTAGTCTAGGTAGTCGTCTTAATAGATTGTAGTCTTTTAAGCTGCAGTTTGCACTCTGTTGTAGAGAGGCACAGTTCTTGGCTTATACCTTGCTGTGTTTAAAGGGGGAATTTCTTATGGGAGAACTTTTAAACTATAGTAGGTTTAATGTGAATTGTAAAGCCATTTACTTTGCACCTGTTACTTCATAACTTATTTCCAAAGGTAGTTGTATTTAAATGAAGGCTCTGCTTCACGACAGCTCATCTAGTTTTCTTTGTTGTAAAAAGTAAAACTAACTTTTGAGATCAGTTCATTCTCCAAAGTTAGCAGTGATGCAGTGAGCACAAGACTTTGTCACTTCAGGAAAAGAATGAGAAAAAATAATTTGGCTGAGAGGTGGGAAGTCCTTAACAGCAATAATAGCACAGGCAGCCTGGGAGAATACTTGTATCAGGGTTCCTCCAATATGGAAGTCTCCCCCTTTAATTTTTTTTTTTTAATACCGGGTTACGAGTTTGATAATCTTTCTATAGACTGGTGGATTTACTTCTTTAGTATCCCTTGAAGCAGGTGCTGGTTCTTCAGCTCAGCCCAAGGAGACCTCTTACCCATATGGTGGGGTCAGTCCCACGAAGGACAGAAGCCACAATGGGAGCAGTCAGTGTCCCAAAGTCCTTAATTTCTACCAAAAAAAATCCTCTGTCCACCAACAAACCATCTTGCCTTAACCTTTATTTTAACATGAAAATAAAAGTTCAAAGCTTTTGTTTTAAATGCACAAATACCTCTTCCCTTTTAAATCCACTTTTTTTGGGAAACTCCCTTAAACTTTCTAATCGAACCCAGCATTGTGATTTAAAAGCAATTTCCTTCGACACAGACTGGCTTCTTCAGGAGTTGTCTGCACTGCAGAGATGTGTGAGAGGGGTTTTTTCCAGAGTGGGTGAAGGGAAGCGAAGGATAACATTGATTTCAAAGAAGGAAAGTATTTTACTGTATCTGCAGCTCCTTTATGAGACAATTTGCACTTTTAAAAACTGCTTTTTAACACTAATACTTTAACCCTTTCCAAATATGCATGGCACATGGTTTGTCCAGCACACTTACCTAGTGTGGATGAATTACGCTCTGTTGAACAGATTTGATAGTGTATCACGTTGAACTGTTGGTGAAAGATGGGCGTTGATCAGTGGATCCCACCGTTGAGTGGTGGATCAAACTTCCCTGAGCCAGACTTCATCCCTCGTAGAGCTTTTGAAAAGATAAAGATTGTCTTTGGATGGGAAGACAAAGGTGTTAGTGACTTTGGTTGGTGACACTTCTGATATTTTCTAGAATTAAGTAGTTGAGATGCAAATAACTGATGCTAACTTTTCTTATGCTGGCAATCTAAGAAAAGAGCTAGAGTTTGGTCTACTGTTAAGTCAAAAACTGGTCCAAGCTAAGTGTCATTAGAAGAGTATAGATATAAACTAGCGATGGCAGGGGAAGGAGTGTTTGCTGTATTTTTATTTTTAAGGCTTAACTTTGCACCAGTGTGCCTTCCCTTCCTGTTAGGGGTGCTTGGGACCTCACAATTTCAGGTGACATCTTCCAATGTCACTAGTTTTTTCTCCCCCTTACAAACACTTGAGAGAAATAACAGGGTAGTAGGATTCAGCTTTTCTTTCTTCCCTGTTTGAGTTGTGGTGAAATCTGCTACGTTTTCCAGTAGGTTTTGCACACAAGCTTTGTTCTGAATAAGTCAAAATACAGTCCATCCGGTTGTGATTTCTTGACTGGAGGAAAAGAACATCTGCTGTTTGCATTATTACTACCAAAAAGGCAGTCCAGCTAAATGTGCAGGAAAATGCAGATGTGTGCTTTCCTCCGCTGTTTCTGGAAGCTGAGGTGGATACTGCCCTGCTTGACCAGAGGGTTTGTTCAGGAAGGTGTCGAGATTTGGTGACAGGGCCTTTTCATGGTACTGTTGAAGTAAAATTAAGGGTGATTCTAGGAAAACTGGCATATAATGCCCATCAGTCGTCATAAGTGAACAGGATCCAAACAGCATTTAACCTGATAGGAAAAGCAGCCCTTGCTTCTGGTTTCAGTCCCTGCCCTCATCATGCGATCAGACTGCTGGAAGTACGGTGTTGCTGTAACCGAGTTGAAACAGTTCAATGGAAATGAAAATACGGTTTAGACCTACATAGGTGCATGGGTAGGGCTGGGCTTTGCCTTCATGCCCTTGAACGTGTAGCTGTCTATATATGCACTTGGGCTTTCCATTTGCTGCAGCTTCAGAGCAATAAAATGTATCTCCCCTGAACCGTACCCAGCCGGCCGCCCATGGCTTTATTTATGAACTGCGGTTCCGGCTGGGGAGGAGAGGTGGGAGTGTCACTGTGCAACATCCACTGCCTTCCAAAAACCACGATTCAATTGAAAAGGGTGCTCAAAATTTTGTTATACACATTTCCTTTGTGTAAATAAATGTTTACAATTTTATATTAAAGATTTGAATAAGAGTTAGATCTTCTGACTGTATATTTTTTACTTTTTATAGATTTTAAAACTATAATTCTTTATATATGTGTTTGGGGGGTATTATGGTAAGTTTTATGCTTGTAAATGGAGAACAGTTGAATTTGATGCTAACCTTTATGAATTTTTGTCATTGAAATGTATAAAGAGTCCATTAATCCCCTTATTCTTTTACAACAATTACTGGTGCACACCAAAAAGAAATCCTTCACTTCTGTTTTATCATTATAAAATAAATATTTTGCTAGTGTATTAAACGTAACATGGTGTGACTTTATACATTTGTGTGAGCCGAGCAGAGTTCAGCACTGTTCCGAGTGAGACGGTTCCCTTTCTTCCAACACAATTTTGGTCAGCGTGTTACTAAGGCTCAAATTCTTCTGCTGTGTTTTACCCATTCTTAGAGTTTCAGAAAGTCCAATGAAACAGGGCAGGACTGGATAAAGAGGCCTTGGAAAACTTAACTTTGAAAGCAAGGCTTGATGTTACACCCGCAGCTTCTGGACACTTTCAAAGAAGTAAGTAATTTTTGTAATTTTAATGCAGTTGTAGGCCTCAGGCTGGGGAATACGATTGCTGAGGTGGTTGTCACTGGTGAAAAAGCTGTTAGTGGCTCACGTGTGCAAAATTTGTCAAGTTACAGAAATATGCTCAGATTCCCTCAAAATAACAGGCATTAGGGGTTCAAACCAGTTTCCTTGAGACTCGTAACAAGACAGATTATGTTTGATATAGGCAGATGGCACACAAAAACCAAACCGAGAAATGAGGAGCTCGTACTGCAAGCATGAGTTAGTGTTTCTGAACAAGGAACAAAATACTGACAGCAAGTTGCATGAAGATTTTGGCTTAAAGCTTGTCTGGTCCCTAAGACACTGTGTGGAGCTGGTGGGTTGAAGAGGCTGTGGAAAATAACGGCAAACCAGGTTTTTCAGACCCTGCTGGGATGTTGAGCCTCTTCGGATGGGCACTGTCCATGTGTGCTGGTCGGAAGAGGAGTACAGCAGGGGTCTGGGGCTCCATCTGTGCCCGAAGGAGCCTGCCCTCGGTGGCGTGTGTCTGCGTGTCAGGAGGTTCTCGTTAACGGGTTCTTACTTGACAAATTACTCAAAATCAGCCATTTCAAAGCAGTTCTCTTAGTGAATCATGCCATTTGCAGCAGGCCCAAAAATGCAATTATTTATGTAGCATTTCCTGCTTGTCAAGCGCGCCTTTTAACCGATGATATCTGGTCTTAAGTTCTAAACCAACATCTCAGATCTCTCCAACCACAGATTTAGCAGTAGCGATAAAGAAGAATTTGCAAAGCGTGACAGATCTGCTTCTTGCGAAGGCTGGATTCATTTTACATGTTACTGTAACTTCAAGCATCAGCCTATGTAATAAGAATTTTAATCGGCTTCAAACATTGAAGGATCATTCTCTGGGCATTGAATTTGGTGTGTTATTGTATAGCTGCCGTGCTTACGGCCTCACCTCAGCGCTTTTGGATTTCCTCACAAAGTGCCTCCTGATTTATCTGAGTGTATGTCGAGTATATTCCTACTCTACAAGTTCTGAGTTGTGTTTGAGGGGAGGAGGGGACACAACTTCAGAAGCTTATAAAGAACCCAATGTAATAATAAGGAGCAGTATCGGCATGAGCTGCTTCTAGCCTGTGGGGAGCTGTGAAGTTACTACTTTATTAACTCCTGCTTTATTGTCCTATCAAACGTGCTGCCCTGACCAGTGAACTTGCTGTGTCACACTGAGGAGAGGCTGTGGGAGCGATCGCTTCTTTGTGGCGTTGTGCAGTGTCTGCACTGAGGTTCTGTGTGTGACTGCAATGGCTCAGCCGTATCCTGTCCCCCCTTCATGAGAACGAAGGGAAATCCTTAGGTGATGATGAATTATACTTTTTTTTTTTCCTCTTCCATTCTTTGGTTTAAAAATCTTTGGAGTTGGAGAAGTCTTTTATCCATATTCTGTGTTTTGGAGCAACTTTAACTTTTCAAACTGATGCATATTTTGCTTTTGTGGACTGGGGAGTAAAGTTTCTCAGGGCTGAAACACTGCTGTTTTTCAAACTTTACATTTCACCTTTTAACTGCAATATCAGTATAACATTTCTCTTTCTACATCCTGTGCTGCCTTCCATTCGGATCTGAGAACTTTTATTTTGTATGTCAGCCAGGAAAAGGTTCATACTGCAGAATTTGAAAAACACCGGAAAACTACAAAAAGTGGCTGAGAGCTGGAAAAGAACCATGCTCCATTTGGTAAACTGACAGTATTGACTAATAGGATAAAATATCTGCAGGCTTTTTAAAAAATTCAGAATCCAGTAACAGAATTAAGTTATTCCAGCTGAAATCTAGAAAATCTTTCATATGGTCGGCTCCACTCCTTGGAATAAGAGCAGGAGGTCAACCCAGTCATTTGTAAATGCTTGTTAATTTTTACAACCTCGCGCATAATTTAGATGCTTTACAACTGATTAAACCTACCACTAAAAGGGCTGCAAAAATTCCCATCATCTTTCAATTGCTGGCAATACAGAATTCTCTCATGGTACAAAATCTGTAAATACAATTTGAAGAAGTTCAGAGTTTGCGCAGGCAAAACTTTTGCTGTAGCACAGCTCAGCAGAAGGCGCTTGTCTCGCATGGAGACTTTGTGATGGCTGCTTTGGGAAAGGGCTGTGGCGTGGGGAGAGTTAAGGTGGGGCGGAGGAAGCGCGTGTGGTGTGTGCAGGGCAGTGCAGGGCTGCAGTGGAGCTGCAGGAGGGGGAGGGTCAGAGAGCAGCTGCACCCATCACACCTGGTGGGGCTTTGGTCCACAGCCAGCACCATGAGAAACCAGATCGATCTGCTGGCCACCGTCACGGTTCTGGGAGTCCTGGAGCAAGGTAAATGTCCTTTATGTTATGCTCAGTAACATTAATCTAGTTATGTTGGACTTTGTGGAACTGTGTTTTGCTTGGGGTCTCCAGGGAGTGAAAGTTGCTGTTGTCCAACATGGTAACATGATGTTTGGCTGTTGACAGTGTCATGCCCAAGTATGTTTGTTATTTAATAGGATCCAAGATAACTTGCAGACCTCAAAGCCAGCATCCTAGAGGGTAATTAAATTTGAGTTTTCCTTTGAAACTTAAAACAATTTCAACAGTTAAAATGTCTTTAAAACATTTTCTTTGATTGAATTTTAGGAGGTAATTTGTAATTAGAGTGGCTGGCAAAGTAAAGGCAGGTTAATAAATCCGCTGATGAAGAGGTCAGTCTACAAACATGCATCGTATCTGTATGGAAAAGAGCATCATGTACGCGTGTATTTCTCCTCTGTGACCAGTATTTTTTTGTGCTAAGTTCATATAGCTCAGCTGCACGGAGTGGATGACAGATGAGTTGACAGCACACAGTAATCTGGAAACTAATGCGAGCCCCTCTGGTCAGAAATAGATGCAGACGTTTTCAGAGAGGCTCAGCGACTTCTTGCGATTTAAACAGATGTGTTTGGCTTAAACCGTTTAGAAAGAAGCAGTCCTGTTGCCGAGCTCTGCCCAGCTCTTGTGTTTAATTGTGGGTCCTTTGGGCAAAGATCTCTCCCCTTCTGGGCTTCAGGAGGGTCATGGAAGGGGATGCTTCCTCTGCATCCATTTTATTAAAATCTTCACGTCTCTCTGAGGGAAGGTTGGTTTGTTGCTTTAGCTTGGTTTGGTTTTTTAATTTTTATTACTGAATTAATTCACCGTGGAGCTATTACACCTTTTTGCTTACAAATGGATGTGAATCCCTGAGCAGCCTGAGGTATTTTTAGCCATCAGATGATAAATCTCTTAATGTAAGCATTATTTAAAACACACATATGCTACTGGAAGAATAGGGTTCAAGATTTCAGAATTATCAGTATTCCTCTCAAACAATTTACAGAGAAATATCAGCAACTCAAAATGCAAGATACATTTTTCTTATGTTTTTTAGTTATTAAACTAAGTGGGGATGGAGGGAGTGTTTGGTGCAAACAGGGAGAATCCGAGGAGAAATTGAAATTGAGTTATGGGAATGTGTCTAAGCTCTTTCCATGGGGAAACCCTCTAGCAAATTCCTAGATAGCAGTTTTGTCTCAAATATATTTGTTTTATGAAAACTTCAAGTATTTTTTGAAGGTTGCAGCCTAAGGCATTTTACTTTCCTGCTATGCAAACTATATGTAGGTGTGAAGCCAGCAGATAAATAGCAAGAATTGGCACCCTCTTACCTAGGTTAGATCAGACAAAGTAGCCTCTCTCATAGTCTCTGCGTAGGAAGCCATGGAGCAGTTACAAAATACTGTGTGTTTCCTTTCTGCCAGGAAGAAATGTGTGTGCTAATGCCACCTTGATGCCGAGCTGTGCAGCAGCTTTCCTTGCATATTTTGAAAGGACTTTATGTAGAGGTTACAGGTCTGAGACCCTTCTGAGAAGGCAGAGCACTGAAACACTGTGCACCATACGTACACATACTCTTCCATCACGTCCTGACGTAGGAGACAATTTAATGGCTGAGCTTAGTACAGTGTTAATTGATTTATATTTTTACTTTTGTCTGGATTTTCTGGACACCCGCAGTTTCCGCATTCTTTCAAGTAACTTCCCCTTTTTAATCCAGTTACGTTCAGTTTAGCAGAGCTCGGAGCGCGGCGCTCTGTAGATATGTGCCCCTGCGCCGAGCGCTGTACCAGAGAGCAGAGCAAGTCTACCACAGTTTTGGGTTCCACCCCCTCCCCGCCGCCTTTTTTTGTTTTCAAAGGAAGTAAAGCTTCTGCGATGTCACTGTCTCAGTCCCCACAGAGCTTGTTTGCCCAGTTCACTCAAATGTGGCAGATACGGGCTCCAATTCGGTTTGACAGGTTTGTGGACATAGTCAAATAGAGAATGGAGGTCTGACTGATGCTTCCACTGAGGAGCAAAGCACAGGGAGAGCCCAGCCCCTGTAAGCCATGTGGGAATCCACCCGGCTGTTTAACCCCGAGACGTGAATCGCAAAAAATGAGTTTGAAAGGTTCTGCGGGGAAGGTTGAACTCTTTTACCTACGAGTCCATGCTGAGAAAGCTGATGCAGTGTGGGTTTTTAAAACATCTCATTCCAAGAGCTGCTTTTGGAGGGTGATTCTACATTCTTAATGCTTTGCCCATGCAGCAGCAGGTCTGGAGGAGAGCTCGCTGGCCTCCAAGAGGTGAGATCTCGCTCCTCTTGGGTGGTGGTTTTATGCATTATCCATTGCTAAGCATAAGGACTTTTCTGAATGTGTGCTCCTGTACACAAGCAGGATGTTAAGCACAAAGTTGATGGAGAGGTTGAGTCTGAAATGATTCTCGCTATGTCCATCAGCCCTGAGGATGCTATGTTAGGAAGGGTGCAGATGACACAAAGCAGCATGAAGAGCATTGCCCAGTAGAGTCAGGCTCACACCATAAGCTAGAGCTGCGCACGATGCAGTAACTTCAGCTTGGTCCATTTTTTGAGCAGCGGCTGGGATGAGACCCTGAGAGCGTTAAATATCTGTGTAGGAGATGTGCATAGCTGGTGTGAGGAGGAGGTAATGGGATGGGTCACACTTTCATCATCCTTTTACCAGAGCTCTGGCAGCCACCGCTGACTTGAGCAGTTTGTTACTGAGCCCGAGCTGTCTGGTCTCACACAGGGGATGCTGTGCTGCATCCTGCCGGGTCTTGGGGAAGGACCATGTCCTCACCCTCAACCATAATCAATGTGCTATGAGTGAGTGGAGAGAACATGCTTGTTCCTCCCCACCTTTTTCTCCTAGCACCTCTCATTTAGAGCTGGGTCACTGCACACACCGTGGAAGACGCTGGAACGCGTGGATGCTTTCCTAAATGAACGCCTATGTGTACTTAAATGGATATTACATTGTGTAATATGCAAGTCATACAATCAGATTATTTACATTTCTTATTCCCTTTTATTCCACATATGTTCTAATGCTTTTCTGCAGGCACAAATGGATCTGTCTTGTCTTTAATCTTGCAACATCTGTCCCTACTTTCCCTTCTCTGTCCTGCTGTTTTGCTTTTATCTTCTTTGTTAGCACAAGACAGCACAAAGCAGTCTTGGCTTCTTGTCTCTTTGTTCAGTGCTCTGGAAATGTTGCTACATTAGGGCCTTGTTAATCCAAGTGAATCACTTAGCAGCACGCTGCCACAGCCACTAAAGTAATTGGTGTTATAATTTAGTTTTCTCCTAATGAAAATTCTCATTTTCAATCAAGGCAACAATGTAGTAGCACACCTAAACATAAACAGTTGAAACATCAGCAATCACCTGTGTGAGTAAAAACTTCCATCAAGTAATGGCACAGCCAGATCTTCATGTTAACAAGTTTTCATAGTTTTGTAGTGATTTTCGATGTCCCTCACAATTGGACAAAGGAGCGATGTAGCAGACACTAAGTTAGGACCTGGGCCCAAAGTGGGCAGGGGCTGATAGCAGCCACTAGCAGAACAACCCCTCCTTGAACTGCTCGAGCCTCAGGACCACCCTGCAGGAATGAAGTGGAAGAAATCATCACCCATTTTCTTCTATTGCCATGATTGTGAGCGTCTCTAATTGGCTTCATGATATCCCAGCGCTTCACAGTTCGGCTGCTGCTCTGTGACATGGGGCCATCCTCGTACAAAAGCTGTGCACCCTCTGGGTGTAGCAGGAGGTGTTACACATTATTCCCATCAGCCTGGCTGAGGGTGCACTAATGCTCCAAACACAGAGTGCAGGACTGAAGAAGAACAACGATCCTGTGGTGGGGTGTGGACTTGGCGAGGTTTCGGTGTGCGCCGCTGCCTTCCTGCAAGGCCTGGGCGTGTTTGATCTGTGGGGCAGCACCCAGGGCTGCGCTGCTGGGTGAGGCCATGCAAAGCTCTGCGGGGCACACTCTGCCGGGGTAACCAAATCTGAATTTGAAGTACAGGTGTGAAATAAATGGCACATTTATTTCAAGCCATGTGTGATAGCCCTTGACTATGAACCTAGACGGTATCAGCTCTTTTCCTCTAAACGCTTGATTCCAAGCTCGGTAAGGTTTGGTTGAATACAATGCTGCTGGACTGTTACCATTACCGTGTTATTCTTTTTTTTAGCGTATTTTGCGCTGCAGGTGATCTATGCCCGGCGAAAGTACAAGATCTCCCCTCCTGAGACAACTGGCCACCCTGACTTTGAGCGCATCTTCAGAGCTCAGTAAGATTTTGACTTTGTGGTAACTCCATCTTGATAACTTGAGTGAAATGTCACCAGGAAAGACTGAAGTTGTCCTCAAGTCACCTTTTCACTTACTGCTGCTGACACTGCATGTGTATATATATTAAAAACCAAAACCAAACCAAACAAAAACCAACAAAACAAAACAAAAACGCTTTATGTGCAGAGGTCTGAGTTTTGGAGCACTTTGCTCTGGCTGGAGTGTCTCTATCCCCAATAATCCTTCTCCTGGCATCGTGAGAGGCTGTCAAATTACAAATTAGTGGCTGTATGGAAGAGGTGCTGAGCATTAATGCATTACAATCATTAAATTTAATATTAACGTTGGCTACAAATTGTGACAGTAGCTGTATTAATAACCTAATATTTGCTTGTATGTGTTTGCTGATGAATTGAAGCAAAGGGCCATGCTGGCAGAACCAGCTATGAGGCCTTTTTAATCTTTTTCCTTTTTTTAAGCCATTGTACTGTGAAAGTCAGCACTCGTGGGCCCATGCCGAGGGCTGTTTCTTTTTGCTCTGTTCCTATAGAGAGAGCAATGTTGGAGCTAAACTGGAAGCATTCACAGATCCCTTTGGCTTCCAGCAAGCACCAGATTCAGTCTTTCATCTCAGTTGTGCTCTTTCGTAAGCGATTGAAAGGAATTGGCTAGAGGAGGTTTGAAGGGTTCAAGTGTGGCACTAAATCCTGAACAAAGCAGCCGCGTTTCCTTGCCAGCATGCAGGAAACGTTTGTGGAGTGACAAAACCACCCGCTCCGGTCCTTTTGCCGTGCAGCAAAAGGCCAGCCCGCGTGGGAGGCGTCAGCCTGTGCTAGCTGGTAGCTGTTGATGAGGCTTTTAATTAAATACTGGGCTGTGCATTACCCGAGCTGTGCTGCGGTGTGCCGGGAAGCCCTCTGCTGTGTTCTGTGGAGGACGTGATCCCAGGGATTTTGGGTTTGACAAGGTATTTCTTCATTGGGGGATTTTTTCCTCCCTTCATTCTTTTCCCTGTGGAAAAGGAGACAAATGGATAATTTGATTTGATATATTTAAAAAAAAAAAAAAGAGGAGGGGGAAGAAGTATTGAAGTATTGATTTCTTACTCACTTGTGGAAACCTGGCAGCCTCTCCTTGCTGAGGCTCAAACTGCATTTGCAGCAGAAGATGGTTCAGACTTTTTCCAGCTCCCAATCTGGCTCTCTTTCCTGAGGCTTGGTAAATTTTTGGCCAAATTTAAGATTAAATTGCCTAGGAAATGGTAAAATGTAGAAGAAATCAAGAAACAAAACTACTGTCTTTGATAGCACAGCTTTCAAAGCAAACCTGTATTTTTGACACTAAAAGAAAAAAGGAGGACGAAAACCTGGCTGCAGAGCTGATCACTTTCTGCTAAATTTGACCTAAGAGAAGGCTTCTTCTTGGAGTATGACTTGTGCAACACCCAAATTTGGGCTGTGCTCTCCTAAGGGGAAAAGAACGCTCCTTGAAAAATGCCAAGGACCTTCTGCCCATGCAGAGTTCCAATGGGTGCCTGTGCAGGCACCGAGCGTGGGGCCAAGGACGGGACCTGTCAAGGGTCCAGCAAAGACAAATCTCTACCTCGGCCATGACTCGTTGTTGCAGGGTCCATGTGAACCTGAGTGAGGTGAAGGCTCTGTGTTGTTTGGGTGCTTTTCTTCTCTAAAATACAGGTAAGAAATAAAAGGTTTTGTTCTCCAGAGCACAGCACAGCAATGCCTCTTATCGGCCCCTTCAGTTTGCTCTGACGTGCATTTCCAGCTCACCGGGTTAACTGATCTCAGATGAACGAGGATGCGATTTTAACTCTCATCTCTGGTTCTCACCAGGGTGAATTGCTCAGAGTACTTCCCCATCTTTGTCTCGCTCCTCTGGGTTGCTGGCATCTTCTTCCATCAAGGTAAGGGGCAGAGGGGGACCCCAACCCAAACCTCATGCACATACCAAGACAACCCCCCAAATTAAATCCCACTGTGACTCAGGCACGTGCCCTCTGTTCCTGTGGGGCTGTTATTCAGGGAAAGCAAATATCCCCTTTGGCTAGATGGACTGAGGAGCACCCTAATTCCAGTGTGCATGGAGCTGCTGGTAGCAGCTGAGCTGGTTCCTGCCCAGAGGAGAGGTTTTGTGGCATTGTCAGCCCACGCTCTCTGGGGCAGAGAAGTTTGTCCCTTACAAAAAGGGAAGGAACTAAGACCCATTTAAAGTCCCACAGTATTTTAGGACTCAGTCCCTCTGCATTGGGTTGTTGCAGCTGTGCCCCCATCTGCAGGGGGAAGTGGGAACATGGGTGACTGAGCCTGGGCTGCAGCTCTGGCAGGGTCCGGGGACTCCCAGCCCCACCAGGACTCGTCTTCTGTCTCCCCCGCAGGTGTGGCGGCAGCGTGTGGGCTGCTGTACCTCTACACCCGTCTCCAGTATTTCCAGGGATATGTGCAGGCTGCACAGGGACGGTGAGTACTTGTCTGGGGCTGTGGGCACCTCAAACCGCCCCAGGCAGGCTGTCTGCAGGATGCGGCCCGTGGGGCAGGTTTCATGTCTGTGGATGCGACTGAAGGCAGATTATCATCACCTTCTTCTCCTTTTCCTGCCCCTATGTGCTCATGGGTCCACCAGCTCTTCCTTGGCTCAGTCTCTAAGCGGGATGGGGGACACCAAGCCCCCCCAGCACACTTCATGCCCAGGGTTGTCTGAAGGGTTCTGACAGCATCTTCTCCCCATGCAGGTTGGGGCCACTGTACGCCAGCGCCCGGCTGCTCTGGCTGCTGCTGGGGCTGGCAGTGGCTGGGCTCCTGGCACATTTCCTGCTGCCCCACTCTGTGTGGACAGCACTGCTGGCATGGCCTCTCTGGCTGCTCAGCGCCTGGTGAGCGGGGGCGCAGCTCTCCCAAAATTCACCGTTGGTGTTCAGCAGAGGGAAGGCAGTTGCATGCCATGGTCAGCAACTGAGGATCTCCCCAGCGCTGCACTCACCTTTCCAGGGAGGTGGATGCGGGCACTCCTCTGCTCTCAAAGCTCCATTCTTCAGAGATGCTTCCCCTTCCAGAAAGAAAATGCTGCCTGGCCTGATGGCCTGGTCCCGTGCTGCTGGGCTTCACTGCCAGGTTTTGTAGCACGGGCTGCTCTGAAACCTCTAACGCCTTTCACTGCTGTAATGAGTTATGTTGTAGGCTCAAACCATGGATATACAACAAATAAATTCCTTTTCTCATTAGAAATCACCTCTGATTGTTAAAGGTACTTAACATTAAGGGTGTGAGAACATCTGAGGGTTAGGGGACTGGTCTGCATGGGAAAAGCTGCTGCGATTAAAACAAGCTTGAAAAGATTGGTAAGCTTGTCTAAAACCATTACCAATTTTTTTTTTGGAAAAAAGCCTGTCTCTAGGCCAAATGCTAATGTCTGCGTTTGGCACTGACTTTAATGATCTTGACTTGGACCTGACTTCACTTATCACTGATCTACCAGTCGGACTTTGACCTCTCTCTGGATTTCAACCTCCACTGCAAAATCAGGGTTCGCAGGTAACTAAAGCAAGCATCAAGCAGGCAGCTCCTTGCTAAGCTGTATGTGGGTATAGCTAAAAAAACCACAAAACCAAAACACAACACAAAACGCAAAAAGACCAAACCAAAACAAGTCATATTCTGTAAGAAACACAACTGTTCCACAATTGCATCCTCCAGTGTATGGGTGCCCAAGTGCCTTCCTTGCTATGTGACAAGGAAAGAGCCAAACAAATTTATTTATTTATTTATTTATTTTAAGAAATGGTGAGGGTTCCTGTGGTGCTGGAGGAAAGAAATAAACAAACCAAAACAACACAACCAGTCTCCCACTGGGCTGCTCTAAGTGCTTTCCTGAGCATGAGCAGTGCTTTGGGGTTATCAGGTGCTGGTGAGCACGGAGGAATGACTCTGTGTAGGGGCTACAGCCGGTCCACAGCCCCCAGGACCACCCACCCATTCTGGAAAAGGGAATGGACAAGCAGAGCCAGAGCAAGGGTCTCCCTGCTGCAAGTGACACTCACTGCTGCAGTAAAGGTTTAAATTTAGCTTTTATTACAGTGCACATTATTTTATATATTTATATATAGAGAGATGTACTTGAAAAATCAAATGTATCCAATAATAAAAAATACAGCACATTAAAGTAGTATAATGCATTCCAGTGTATAGCTGAAGAGACATTGGGATTTACACTAATCCCTACTATTTCTGAACTGGGCTACTTCTGCTTCATTTTTTAAGGTTTTTTTAATTTTTTTTCCAAAAAATTCACACCAATCAATAACTGAAATAGTTAGTTATTTAAAAAGGTGGTTTCTGCACTCAATCTCAAGGCTTGAAGACACTGGAGACTTCACCGTGAGTTAAGGGGCTGTGTTCAATGATGGCAGGCACAGTGTGGCGTTTATTTTTTGTTTTGTTTTCCCTGCCATACTCATAGCTCCAACCCCTTCAGATTCGTTCCTCCTCTGTAGAAGGAGGGTCCGTCTTCACTCTTGCTTAATCCTCAGCTATGGCCAGGACCATTGCCTGGGCGGAGGTGAGGCAGCCCTCGGTACCTGGCCATCTCCATCCCAGCACGTCTGCGAGGTCGGCCGGCGGGACTCAACGTGACCAAGCCCCCTGCACTGTCCCCAAATACAGCCAGCGACTGCCCTGTCCTGGGCTGAAGGTCCTTTTAGTCCCCACGTGTGCTAAAGCTTATCCCGACCCCAAACTGTCCCCTGTGTCGGTGCAGGCCGAGTGGTGGGCACGGCAGCCGCAGGCCTTGCCGCGGGGAGCAAAGCTGGCCCTCTGCACGGGATGCTGGGTTTTTCTGATTTTTTTGCTTTTTGCTCCTCTTCTGGAGAAGACGCTGTCCCAGTGGCAGTGCCGTTTGCTGAGGCCTGTCGGTGCGTGTGCCGCTGTCCTGGCGCCCGGGCGAGACGCCGGGGGGAGAGGGAGCAGGAGAAGAGGCAGCAGGCCCAGAGAATCCACGCGTGTGTCCACCCTTCCTCACACCCACGTCACTCTGCTTTTTTGATAAAAATCTGAAAGGAGAGAGGGCCGGGATCAGGGGAGGTGGCGGGGAGCCGAGGGCTGGGCAGGGTCATCCCTCTGCCAGCGAAGCCCATCTCACCTCGCTCAAGATGATCCACACCGGGGAGTCGGTCTGGATGGACAGCCTGATGGCCTCCAGCGGCCCGAAGGACGGGTCCACCTCACCCTCTGCGATGCCCTTGGAGAAGGAGCCTGGCAGGGAGAGCACAGGGGTGATGTGGGGATGGTTCCCTGGCAACCAGCCCTGCCAAGGGACCCACCAGCAGCCATGGCAGCCCCTGCCCACAGCTCCCCATCACGGGAGGGACAGGCTGAAATCCAACAGCGTGGCCATCAGCACAGTGCAGAACGCTGCACTGAGAGGAACAAAAATTCAGCTAAACAAAATAAAATGGGGAGTATTTGGCTACACACCAGTGCTGTGTGGAAAAGGGCAGAGGGGTCTGATGGCAGCACTGTCCTCTAAGAGACAAATTCTGGCTCAGGATCCATGCCATGGAGGCAAGTCTCACATTCATAGCACTAGCAAAGTCTCTGCTTGTTGATAGGTCTCATTTTTGAGTGATTTATTTATTTATTTGAAAAATGCAACTGGGAGAAACCAGACAGCATGCAGAGGAATGCTATAAAAGCTGTGAATGCCAGGGATTTTTTTTCCTTTGTCTACTTAAAATAAAAAAAAAGAAAACAGTCCTAGCAGAGACTCCAGGGCTTTACCACACACCAGTTGGTCCCCATAGGCTGCAGTCACTCATTCCTGTCCAAGAGCATGACAAGCACTAAACCAAACTCAGGCAGCCGGAGACTAAGTCCAAGCTGTAAGTGGTATGAGTACTGAGACGGGCTGTGGAGGGAGAGCACCAAATCACCTGTGGTGCAGGATTTTAGCAGCAGGTTAGGCAAATGGATAATCCGGATAATTTGGTCCCAGCTCTGAGCAGAGACAGGCAGCAATGTAGGACTGAGAATCACCTGAAGAGGACACCTCGTCTAAGAGGGGAGTGAGGGCAGAGGAGACAGTGACAATTAAATCCTCTTCCAATCTGGCTCCTGGCAAGCAGAAATTACTCTTTGCCAAGCAAACAGCACTAAGGGTCTCGATTCACTTGAAGGTGAGGATATGGGCTGCGTTATCAGACCCAGCAAGCAGCTCCCACCCCACACCCTACTGTACCTATCTGGATGTAGCCATCTGGCGTCCTGCGGTACTTGACAGCTGTGCCTCTTCCCTCCTGCAAGGCTTCCTTATCCGACTGCAGACTCTGCGGGAAGGAGAGGAGCTCTGCACAGGACCAGTGGTAAGAGCTCCCAGAAGCCAAAAGTCCCAAGCAACAGCAGCAATCCCGGAGCTGCTCGTGGCATCTCATCCCCTCGCTTGGTACCCTGAGCCTCATGCCCCAAAACAACAGGATAGTTGCTGCACTCAGGCTGCTGCTTGCACTGCACCGTCCTGGCTCCATCCTGTCCTCTCAGCCATCCCACCCATCTGAGCATCCCTGCTCCCAAGGTGGTACCATGTCAGGTGTGACACCCTGCCTCCCAGCCAGCACCTCTCCAAGGCACCTGAGTCTTGTAATGATTCTTCCAACAGCCTTAAGAAGTTCTCTTCTCTGAAAACTCTTTCACTTCCCACTCCATCCCCGTTTCAAATCTCAACAAAACACTTACATCAAACGGCAAAACTTCCACAGTTGTATTGAAGAGTTTGTCTTCTGGGTGCTCGATGTTCCCGCTGCGGAAGAAGAACCTGTGACCAAGCAGGAGACAGACAAGAAATTCAACATGAGCCTGAAGAGCAAAAGGAAAGTCTCCATATGCTCCAGGCATTCCCCACATTCTCCCCGCCTACGACTTCCCCATAGACACTGGCCTTTCGATGTGGAGTGGTTTGAAGAATCTGAATCTGATGAAGTCTCCGGCGGTGGGAGTGAAGGCCCAGAAGAAGTCCTCCCGCAGGTAAGCCTTCTCCAAGGTGAAGTGCTGGTAGGTTTTCAGGCTGGTGCTCACCTCTGCAGGAGGGTTGACGTGCTCTTTCCTCAGGGCCTGCTTGCCAAAGTCCTTGTCCTTGGAGGGCACAAAGCAAAAGGGCAGAAAAGAGTGATGAGCTGCTCTCGCCCATGAGGAACACGGGTCCCAGCAACAAGGCACATAATTCAAAAGCTCTCTATTTGCCCAGCACGGGAGCACAAGGGATGGAAGTGATCTGGGGAAGGCAGCAGACAGCGCAATGCGTGGCTGGATCCCAGGAGGACACAGCTTCAGGAGACGCGGAGCAGAGAAGCACCATTGCTCTGCCGTCTGATCTGCCACCAAAGAGCCTTTCATTGTCCAAGCATCCCCAGATGTGTGTCCCTGCCCCAGGAGCTCTGCAAACAGCCCTTATACCTGCAGGGAAGGCAGCTGGGGATTGGACAAAACTGGACTGAGCACAGCCCAAGGCTCACGTCTATGGGTCCCCCACATATAGCTGTGGGAAACTTGATTTTGTTGATGTTAAAATACTCACAAACAATTTAAGCTCTTAGACAGCAAGCTCTAGTTCACCTATCAGCAAATCCCAGGAATAAGGAGGAGAAGGAAGCCAGACCAACACAGCAGTCATCTCTCCAGGGTTTTTCAGTACATGCTTCAAAATCACTTGCCCAAATAATGGTAAAACTTTTCCACTGTGAGGGTGACAGAGCCCTGGACCAGGCTGCCCAGAGAGGTTGTGGAGTCTCCTCTGTAGACAATCAAAACCTGCCTGGATGCGTTCCTGTGTGACCTGGTCTAGGTGATCCTGCTCTGGCAGGGGTTGGACTGGATGAGCTTTCGAGGTCCCT